GGTTCCTGTTGGGTAATGGAAAACCCTTGCGGGAAATTGGGGGGGGGGGGGGGGGGGGCGGTGAGGAGCCTCTAGCGACCAAAAAGGGAACAGATATTCAATCGATATTAACCGCTAGGCTTTCCTAACAAAGTCTGAACGATGGATGCAACCTTGTCGAGGCTTGTTTTGAGGCCGGCGTTCACGTTTCGTTGTACTTGTGTATACTGCACGTACTTAAGGGGTGTCTGTCACGCGGCGCATGCATTCCCAAATAACTACCTGTTGCAGCAGCGGAAGCAACAAGTTGCCAGAGAAAAAAAACTCAAAAGACTGTATAGGTCACAAACGCTGGTACATCCGATCCGAGCAACCACGAGCATAAAATACCCCACCAAAACACAAGAAACAACGTGGTACATATCAGACCAACGAAACGCATTGCAGCGTGCGTGTCGCATGCACCTGACTTGTCTGGGGCCCACAGTGTTGCCCGAGTATTGCCTTGAGGCGCCGCTTCTGTACGTACACGTACCGCGGTATGGCTATCGTCGTCGCTTGAGACGCCTCCTGCAAACCCGATAAAGAAACAAAAGGGACAAAAACGGTCCACGTCGAAAACAGAAACCGGAATGATTGGCACCCCGGTATCCTTAATGGGTATTAGGCTCGAGGCAAGGCCATGTCAGCGGGCGCGACGTTTGTGCACGTCACACTGACAGTACACAAGAGAAGGGAAAAACGGGCGGAAAATTAAGCACGCCACAAGCGCGTCGCGTGCTAGAAAGCTTGCGCTCACCGCCCTTTCGAAGGCCGCCCTCAACGACCAGTCGGCGTAGGTGAAGAACCTCACGCCTCTCTGGGGATCGTATCTCTCCGCGGCCAGGTGCAGAGCGATAGCGCCCTCCTGCCGGTGGTGCCGCGAGCAACGGCGGTGGGTGGGCACACAAACACAAGCACACGAGAACACACCGTCACGACCCGATGAATTGTAGAATCACCAAAGCTACGTGCGTGAGAGTGGAAGGGTGAACGTGTCGTGTGCATCGGGCGGCTGGTACCTCCTACGACACCGGTGCATGCAGCGGCGCGCGCAAAAAATAGGCGCCCTACCGCACTCTTTGTCCGGCGGATCGTTCAATGCTTCCCAGCGATCGATACTATTGTGAAGTGCGATCGCGCGCCCTACGTTTCTCCGCGCATGAACTAACGGTGAGCAGGACAGACGGTGCGCAAAGAGAAGACGGCACACAACCGGAGAAAACAACGACACGCTTGCACACGAACGTGTCATACGCAGCAGATTTCCTGGTTTTATGTTTGGTTCTGGTATGACTTGTATCGACCGCACTAAACAGCTGACGACTCAACATTCGTCGTGCATGCACACCGCGTGCGTCTCTCGGGTACAAGTACATTGCGTGCTGTAACGGGATTGATTGATCGTGAACAGGCTTCCGAGCACCTGTATGAGGTCCATGGACGACAGGGCAGTCCTCCCTTTCCTCTTGCCGGCGAGGTACATGACCAGACGAATGTGTGACAAAACGAGCCGCTCCCTGGCGGCCTTCCCTCTCTCCACAAGCCCGACAAGATCCTGCGGGGCCAACATGTATATCCAACGAGTTCCACGTCAAGGTGTAGTCAAGAGAGGCACGAAGAGACGATAGGTCATGGGCAGAAGGAAGAACATGATGATCCTGAAGGAGGGGGGACTGGTGATGACTTGAAAGAGTGTAGAAACTAGAGAGAGCGTGAGAGAGATCGACTTGTTCTCGCGCTACTTTTCGATGCTTACGAACACTCGTCGCAATCCTCCGCAACGTGACGACCGCAGTAGTTGGTGTAGCAGCAGACGCGTGAGCAACAACGGCAGTTATCTCAACTCGCGTCTAAGTGACAGTGCTCACAGGCACGATCAACATCCTGGCTCTCACCGCCACATCCACGCCCGCAGCTGCTGCCCATGCCTCCATTCCTACTCTCGTTCCCGGATCCTCGCCGGTCGCCGACGCCTCCTCGGCGGACAACGCTTCGCGCAATTCCTCTAGGCGTCGCCATTGCTGTACGTCCTTGCACAACGTTGCCTCGTCCTCGCGGTTAAGTCTAGGCAATCCAGCCACGCTCTGCAGTTTTCATGTCCATGCAATGAGTAGTGACCGGAGCTATCTGTTGGGTGCTATGAGCCTGCCGGGGATAGCATTAGACACCATATGTCTGTAAATGTTGCTGTGTCTATTTTAGGAGTAACGTATGTAGCTCCCGGCGTGTGGTATCTATGACTACCCGGTGTTTGCACTGCATTTCATGCGAAAAAAATCCTCTCAAGAATTGGCCACTGCTGTTGCTGGAAGAAGGGCGTTTCTTCTCCATGCTGCCGGTGGGATGTGATCCCGCTGACGAGCTTCTGAGGAACAGGTTCTCTGCTACGTTGCGTTGCCCGGCAGAGCAAACTCAAACCAGGATTCTTTCATTTTTCACGCGTGCATACCGTCCACGATTGTCTACGATTTCTGCGCGTTGTAAAGACGAACTGGCAATAAGCAACAAGCAACAAGCACACAATAAAGGTTGGTCAACAGGACCACGTTCGTTACAGCTGGCGCAAACACGCAACGAAAGAACAGAGATGGCCTCGCCGTGTGTTCCCGCCGAACGTGTACCAGAATCTTTGTACAAGTAGGGGTCTCATATCTTGCTACGGCCGTGGAATCGCAACCCTTGTACATATCTCTTCAGTCGGCGAGTCAGTCCTCCAGCGCTGAGTTTTGAGCCGTCTTACAACAACATGAAGGAGTTGAGTGTATGTGTATTGTAGCTGAGACCTACGAAATGGGAGCAAATAGCAGTGTAGCAAACCAACTCACAGTAGTGCATGTAATGACGCTCTATTGTAAGGATTTAGTATAGGATTTAGTATACGTTGCAACGGTATGGAGGTGTCTTGCTTGCGAAAAAAACATGAACGCTGCAAAGCACTGCTGTTCGACCGCCATATTTTGCTGCCGCAGTACATGTAGCAAGTAGCAAGTTGGGAGGGTTGTGGACGCTTCGAGGGAAACTTGGTTCCACCGTTCCGCGAGCCCCCGATACGATGGCATACATCCGTTTGGCTCTTACACCCACCTGTCTCAAACTCTGCATAGCCGAGCCTCCAGCTCCTGCCATCTCTTCTGCTGCCCACGCCCCGCTACGTGCGTCGAAGTGCCATGTCACATCGCCCTTCCCTGGCGTCACCGCCCCCGTATCACCAGTTCCTGGCTTCCCAACTCTTCGTCGTCGCACCCCTGGCGATCCTCCTGCCGGCACTGCTTTTGCCGCTGCTATTGATGATACTCCCGATGGTGCTGCTGCTGCTGCTTCCCATCTGCTGCCCCTTGACACGTTACTTTCATTCTGTATCTGCTGCTCCGCCCTTGCGGTACATGCAATACCCCTCCGATCCACTGCCCGAGGCCTCGCAAGCTTCATGACCACGGAGGTGCTCCTGCGGCTCCTGCTACCGGCTTCATGGCAAAGGATTCGACGACTGGTAGAGCCAGCAAGAAGCCCGCACGTGCTTGACGTAGCTACGAGCAATAAGAGGACGCCCTGATTCAGCACAGTGGACGCTCTAAGCCTCATGATCCCTGCCACAGACGTTCTCACGGCAGCAGCAGTCGGGCCGGCCAAAAAGCACACCGGTTTTCAACGCTGTCTTGAAATGTCTGTCCGTTTCTCTTTGAACAGCTGTTGAGCGAAAGTTCCAAGGCCACGGTAACGAAGGGTTGCTCTGCCTCGCACCACAAATCGCAATGCGTGTTCTGTGATGCAGTCTCTCTCAGTCTTTTTCTTCCTTGGATAAATACACACAGGGCCACGGGGTCACGCCCAGCCCGACCTTCCACCTCTGGTTGCCTCTGGGCACGGCCTGACGCGACCATGCGGGGCATTGACGATTCGTCGAATATGACAGTCCCGGAATGCTGGACCGTGAGAGTCTGTGGCCGGTCGGTGTGCTTACTAGGTACATGTCACATACGACACACATATGTACTGCTAATTGCTTGATGCCAATTCACAATCGGTGTGCAGACAAACATGGACTCCGCTACCTTTCGAGCGAGGTTTATTGCACCAATAGTCCTCTCGCTGCTATCGGCATGCAATAAGCACCGATGCCTAGCGTTCGTTTCTCCGCGACTCGCATCTGGGGTGCTGTCATCATGGGATGATGTACCGAGTGCGGTTGCCTCTCCGTCGTCTCTGCTCTGCCGAGGAATCTCTTTCCCAACACGGCATCAACGGCGACAGCGTTCGTTACTGCGCACGGCTGCTGAAGGTGATGATGGTGGGGCGGGGGGCAATGGTGGGAGTGGGGGTGGGGATGCAAAAGCAGGAACAGGAGCAGGAGCGGGCATGGGTTTGGACGGAGAGTGGCAGGTCAAATCAGGGGAGGTGAGAGCGCATGTTGTTCATGAGAGTTCATCCAGACTGTACGCAGCATACACAGCAGTTAGGGCCTTCAGTTCTTATTCGATGCCAACATCGAGCATAGATTACGATGTAGGATTTTGCATGGGATGCTCCCATGAGCAGTCTTCCCTAATTTTCTTAGCACCTTTTTTCTGAACTGCAGGGGGCCCCACCGCCGACTGGACGCGGCACTCGCACGTTATTCAAGTGCTGTGTTTGACACACGTGGATGTGCGTTGAAAGAGCACCCACACATGTGAGGCCATCCTGTTCACCGTGTCTTACACCTACCTTGGAGACAAGTGGTACACGCATGCGTTGAACAGGTAGTCGCAGCCGATGGTTTTGAAGGAAGAAATTGCACCTCAGCGGTTGTCCTTCTATCTATGTAAAGCAGGGGCTATAGTCACACCTGGTTATCAGTCAAGAGACCTCCCAGACATGGTTACAGTACATCTATTCACTGACACGGTCAGAGTGTACAGAGTGTACAGCCCCCGTCGCGGGTGGGTTGGGTAATGTGGGTTGACACCTCTGGCAGCGGAGCTTGCCGCCAAAGCCGAAAAGAGAGCAGATGTGTGGGGCGCGCTGTGGCAAGCTGCGAGTGTAGGGTGGCGTTTTCCTGCTCATAAAATAACAGCATCGAAGCGACGGTGTATGCAAATCGTTTGGATGCTTGCATTTGGGGTGGACGGCGCTGTTTCCTTAAGGAATATCCTGTGGCAAATTTAAACACCGATCTTTTATCTTAGTGGGTGCCGTTGGTTACTTGTGTTTCTTCTTCGCTCACATGCCTCAAGTACAGAGTAGAAGTGTCCGAATACCATTCGCACAACGCGATTCAATTATGACACTCGCGTGCACCGCCGCTCGTTCGATGTTGCCCCGCGCGTGTCCGATCAGGGCAAGAGGGCGAGGCGGGGGGCGGGTAGCGATGGCTTTGGTTCCGTGCCGGGGCAGCTTCCGGAGAAGACGCGGGACGGGCAAGACTGGGCAGAGTGGGCGAGGGAATGGCGCGAGGACCCTGACGGCAAGGCCGACCGACTAGTGAGCCAGTGGGATGCCGAAGCCAAGGCGAATGAGGGTGGAGGCTCACAGGTGGGTAACTCACCGCACGCTCCCAGAGCCAAATTGATTGTTTTCGGTAAGCTCTAGACTTGACGGTTGCTTCGCTGGGCGGCGGCAGAAACAACGCCCGCTTTGGCGAGCGGCGACGTTCGTGAACATGCTCAGCGCGTGTACTGCCGTTCGCCGCAGACTCTAGAACGAAGCAGGGATGTTGGTGACGCAGTTGAGCTTGTGCGTAATTGCAAAGCCTGATCCGTGCGCGAACGTTGCATAGAACCTGGTCTTTTTCGGGGTTCATCGTTGAAAAGAATTCGGTTTTAAGGACAGAAGAGAACGATTCAAGGGAGGGGGACGGCAATTCCAACCGTACAGTGTGAAAGTCGGGCCCTACAGCAGTAGTGCGTCTGGGTGTACATGTTACCTTACATCGGTATTGGTGGTGTACTGAGATCGGGAAGAGCAAGGACACGTGCGAAGGTCGACCCTCCGCGAGCAAGTGCGGACTCTACCTGGCCGAGAACAGCAGTATCCTTACTAGAAATAAGCATGTGCAGCTAGCTTCTCCTGCTGTCACCATAATCACAGAACGAATGTTATGTCACCGTTACGCCGACCATGATGCTCACGGGTCACCGCAAGTGTGCCGTTTCTGGCTAGCCCCATCAACCCTAACGGTGTCCCTGTCGCAATCCAACTCTAGGACGGGAGATCCAAGAAGCGCAAGGCTAAGAAAAAGAAGAAGGGCAAAGCCGGCCCGTCGCGTGGAGTGGTCGGCAGTGGCTTCGGTGGTCCCGTGCGGCAGACGAAGAGCGTCCCGAAGGGGCTGGTGGTGTCTGAGACGGGAGGGGGCAAGGGGGACGTCGTGGATTGGAGCAAGGGCCAACAGCTCAGGGAGGTGAGGTGTACCACGTAAATTTTGATCCCCAGGTGTGTATGCCGCACACCCCAGATGTGTGCGTCCTTCGGAAGACCAAGAATTCTCCGTGCGCGTATGGCACGTGCCAGATAGTCTAAATGAGATATTTTGTTAAAACTACCTTTGCGTGTTCCGGGTTCGGTGATGCTGGCTCTGGTTCAGGCAAGACAGAAGGGAGGGAGGGGGTGAGAGTAGGGTGTAGGACGTTGCACACGCGGGCGAAGCTTGCGGGGCCGAAGAAATGGTTCGATTTCAGATGTGTGCCAGCAAGGAGCAGGTGCACACTCAGCAAAAACATAGGAGAAGCCAATCGTATTCATCCACGGGAAACCTCTCCGGACCTTAACCCTTGTTTTGCCCCTCCGACCGTTTTATTCGCACGTTCCCCCTTTCGTGAATACGGCGCACGGGTAGACGGATCGCAAGGAAAACATGGTGGCCGACTGGCAGCAGAACGCCAAGAATTTGGAAAGCCTAGACCCGTCTGACAGAGAAAAACTCGCCGAGCAGCTCCGAACGGCACTGGGCAAGAAGAAGCATAAGCAGGAAAAGAAAACGAAAGCGAAACCAAGTGATCGTGGCGAAAGCAAAGGCTTTTCCACGACCGCTACCACGACGGGGGGTGCGGATACAGCGGCGATCAAAGGTCGGGGTGACGGTCGTGGGGCCTTGGCTTCCGCTGCCGCTGCTGCCGGCGCCTTGGCGGCGGAAGATGTTGCGGGTGTCTCCGTCTTTCCTTCGGCGGCCGAGGGCAGCAACGGGGCCATGGAACAACTTGGTTCTGACGGGGAGTGTGAGGGTGGCGAGAGCAAAGGGGCAGAAGGAAAGAGCGTGTCGGCCGGTGGTGGTGGCGAAGGTCGGGGAAAGGCAGAACCGTTGTTGGTGGACGCGGGCGTCGAGGGCGACCCCGGAAAGACAACCGTTGCCGGCAGCAGTGGCGGCGTCCTGGTGCTCCCGGTCGCTGGTGCAGCCGTTGAGGGAAGCGATTCACCTCTGGATGGACAACAGTTAGCCTCGCCCGGGGCAGACGGAATCGAGAAAAATAGCGATGGTGTTACCCTGGAGAGGGTGATGGGCTTCGGAAAAGGTGTGGCGGTTGTCGAGGCTGCTACCGATGATGGCGTTTGTAACGACGCTGGGGGTGTGTCTGCGGTCGGCTCTACGGGAGAGTCATCAAGAGATCCCTCAGACGAGGGCGAACTCTCACGGGCCTTGAGTTTCGGGAAAGGGATTTCTCTGCCTTCGGAGGAGGAAGCGGCAGAGGGTGATGATGGCGAGAAGAAAACGCCAGTTGCAGCGAGCGAAACGCCAGGGAGTGGTGGCGAGGATGACCGACTACTGCGTGGCTTCGGGAGGGGGGTAGCCTTTCCTGCGAAGCCTGATGATGGCGGAATGTAGAACATGACCATTTCTGTGACGTGCGTGTGATGTTGAACCGTCGGTGCTTGATAGGCGTCGGAGGAGTGAGCAGCATCAGTAAGGACAAAGCTTATCGTATGATATGCAGCAGATGTGCGGTGTTTTCGTCAAGGGGTAGTTAGCTGGGAATTATCGGCAATCTCCGACACACGCGGCCGATGGACGGAAGCTGTCTCTACCGATGAGTTACTAAAGTGTATCGTTCTGTCCGATTGCCTCGATGAGGTATGCTGCTCACGGTTAGCGCGAAATCTTCGACAACTTGCTTGCGAGAGAATCACATGGGGCGGCTTAGGTTTCGCCGTGTCGACATCCGACGGTATACTACCTCGGATGGATGCAACTCGATGCAATCGAGAACCGTCAAGTTCTGGCAGTAGCGAGTGCCGGCCGGCCCGCTCGTAAGGAACACACGTGTTTGAGCAAGGCTCAAATCAAAGCCTTGGGAGTCTCAACGGGTGACCACGGGCTAATTTTTGTTGACGAAGCGCACCGACCACGACGCCGACACTCTTGCTTAGTCGCAAATGGACACTTCCCTGAGTCGTATGTAAGTACATCGTGTGAAATAAAATAAAGCTTAGCTCACTACCCCGAGCGGTAGGTGTGCCGCCTGTTGTCATCCTTCCTATCCTGAGGGTCGCCCTCCGTTTGACGTGCAAAACTTCGAAAAAAACAAGCTGCCTTCAGAGGCTGGCCCGGGGGCTAAGCTGCGGCTTGTTGCAAAATAAAACAAAACTCGCGACGAGCCTGGAGTCTTCTGCGGCTCGTGCCGGATGGCTCGTCGGTAGTATGCATACGCTGACTTCGTGCAATTGAAACACTCTTTTTATGATACACAGCAGTACATGCGAAGGGGTGCGGCTGCTAAGCGGATGCCCCGTGGCCGTCGTCCGTGCGGAACAGCAGACATAAGAGAAATCGCGACACGGGTATCATGTATTCTGGTATTCAGCAACATCACCTTCCGATTTGTTGCCATGACTAATCTATCGCCTTGCAACCACAAACACCATGAAGAAGCCAAAGGGAAGGTCAACGCCAATACACAAGACAGACAAGACAAGGCCCGTTCATCACTGCTGTAACACCGCCGCGTCCAAAGCACAAGAGCACAGAGAATCTAAAAGCCAGACTTCCAATGAGTAGGGCTCTCAATTCAAGCCAGCTAGCCGTGCATACGAGAGAACGACCAGACGGGTACGCCCACCAAACCACCACGTGACATGTAAAAACATGAGCAGAGCCAAGCAAGAACTCCAGCCCCCCCCCTGCTCCGCATTTATCAGTACAGTAAGGGAGACGCCCCCCCCTCCCACGGCTGCCGGTTGGCCGTATCTTCACACCTGTCCTTCCCCCTCTCCGATAGCCAAATCACACCGCATGAACCCGAGACAGTCATGCATGCGATTGACAATGGGGGTTAGCCGGGCTGCTCTTGCAAGCTGTTCCATCATCATCAATCAAGAGTCTCGAGTGAGGTCTTAAGAGATTGGCGGCGAGGGCAACAGAAGAACATCAATGCCCGTAAGGCGGCGACTTGACCAACAGCCAGACAGACTATTCGTAGTGGCGATAGGCATAATTGACGCGTGATTCATTCTGTGCCAATCAAAGGTCAAAGGGGTCGCTGACGACCCGCCCCCCCCAAGGCCAAAACACGTGCAACGCTTGTTGCTTAGTTAAGATAGATCCATGGCGCTGAGGCTCGATCTTGTCCGTTGCACAAAACTCCAGCTACAACCAACAATTGAGTGCTGAACAACGGCACACCAGCGCACCAGAAAAAAATGTAGGACTCACGGCCTCGGAGACGCAAGGGAGCAAGCGAACGGGCGAGAGCTGAGCTGAAAACAGCCCCCTACAAATTGTAAGCACCATTTTTGGTAGCCAAACCAAATAATCATCGAAAAGACCAAAAGAAAAATCTAAGTCCGGCATGAAAATATATGGGCAACATATTTAAAACCGAAGAATAACTCCGCCCCAACAGCATTGAGAAACAGAGGAGACCCGATAAGCACCAGAGACAACGACGTGCAAAAAAAAATAGAAAGACCGAAAAACCGAAAAGAAAGAAAGAAGGGTGCAGGTACAACGCCACGCCAAGAATGGCAAGCTTCTTGTGTGCGCCGTGCATGGAGGTACGTATCAAATTCAACGGGGGCCAGTAGAACAGCAGTCATGTGCATGAAACAATCGGACCAAGTCTGCAAAAGTCAGATCGTCGAACCCCGTCTGCCTGGCTATCTCACCCACACCCATTCATAAAACCATTTTACTTTCAGCGCAAGGCTAAACAAACGTCAATTTACTGCTTAAAGGTCGTCGTCGTCGTCGTCGTTGCCCTGAGAACGCCGCCTGCATCGTCACGCGAAACCCTACCTACCCGCGATTTCTGATGCACTCATCAATCGATATCATCCTGATGCACTGGTGGAAAACACCCTCAAGCGCCGGCAAAATCGCTCCGCGAGACACACGCACGTGCCCCTCCCCCCCCCCTCCTCCGGTCCACGCCCTGCCCCTCTGCTCCAGGCGGGAGGCTCCTTACAACCCTTCCCTTCTACGCTCTCGCCATTGCTCAGCGGCACAACGCGCAAGAAATCTGCGGTGCCGGAAGGTGTAGATAGTTACTCCTGTCAAAAAACGCAGGTGATTCCAAGCTACTCAAACCGTCGTTGATATATACTTTACCTTATGTGCCAAACACATCGCTCGACCAAGAAGTCCGTGGAAGCACGGTGCACACAGATACAACACGCCGGCAACAGGATAAATGAGAGAGAGAACAAGAGAAGAGGGAGAGAGAGAGAACGAGCGGCACACCCCCCGGGACAATTGTGCTTCTTCCACTCTCATCCGGCAGTCCCGCCGTAGCAATCAACCAAAGCATATAAAAATGGTTCGTCGAAAACCTCCATCCTTTCGTTCAAGTCCCCTGCGAAATTTTGAACTGCTCAACAAAAAAGCTGGGACAGCGTCAAAAGGATACCCCCCCAAACCACTCTGCCCTTCCGCCCGCCCCACTCCCTATTTCAACAGCGCGCAAAAACAACAAAACTTGTTGGTCTAGGTTTTCTTGTTATCATGGCGATACCGCCGTCACGCAGAGCAGAGAAAAAAAGGTTACGACGCCAAAAAGAAACGACAGCGAGAGATGCGCAATCCAGTCTTGCCTCTCCCAACGCGCCATTATTTCAAGTTCTCCTCTTCCCCCCCTCTCTCGAAAACTCGTTAGCTTTCTCTTGGCTGACCTAAAAATATCGCGCGCGCACACCACACATCACCACTACAACATAAAAACGAAAGACATGCACATTCATATACACGTCTCAAGGGAAAGACAAATGAACATGCCCCATTCCTGCCGCCGGCGCAGCCACAGCAACGATTCACCACCCTATCTGCAATCGTTCCTCGAGGTCGCGGCGCAATCGATTTCCCCGCCGAGCCTAGCTCCAGCTGTTGCAGCGAGCCCCACAGAGAGCCAGGGTACGTTCGTACATTCCAAGTCACCCCGCCGAAACCGAACCGAACCGACTCCACCGTGCGTCACCTACAGCGTCCGACCAGATGCCTGGAGGCGTGTTCAATACGCCCCCTTGGGCACCCTTCCCGACCGGAGTGCAAGAGAAAGCCCCGGGGACCAAACGAGAGCGTCAATGAAGGCGCGTTGAGCAATGTGCTGATATTGATATTTAACAGAACAAGACATCGAAATAACGACAACAAATCCAAGAGTGGAAGAATCAACCGTAAACACACGCCCGGCCGCCGAGCACGGCTGTTGCATACTAGTTAGGTGGATAGGTTCATGGGGGAGGGGGGGTGCGAGAGAACTCTCGTCTCCGGGGCACAAAACCAAAATACCAGCGGCACGTCCTACCTACACAACGGACCTTTCGCCTCTTCCTAACAACAAATACCAACCGTCAGATGTGCCCACCTTGTGGAACCGAACATTTGCTTCAAGCATGCCACGCCTCTAGACACTGACAGGCGAATGAGAAACCCTCACACAACGCGCGCGCAAAATGTCACACCAATGCAAGTGCTCCCACCCATACAGAAACAGAAGCGGAACGTACACGTACGCAGCTGACCAGAGGCGCCCCATACAACAGAAGCCGCAGCGAAAAAAAAAAGACGAGGAACCATTCTAACAATCAGTTCATCAGTTAAAGCCGCGCGTAGAAAAGCAGGGTGAAAATTCAAAGAATCCCACCCACAAATAATCAACATGTACACGGAAGACCAGACGCTCCGAAAGCCACGCTGTCGATTCCACCGCGTCAAAGAGAGTCAACCCGCACGCCACCTTAGGATTTCCACTCCGCAATCGCCGCATCGGTTCCTGGGGGCTTCAAACCACCAACAAGGCTTTGGTCTCGATTTTCTCTCCTCTTTTCAAAAGCTTGAGAGCAGGCGCTCCCCTCGGGACCACGAGGGCATGCAACTCCGTATTTTTTTTTTCCCTTTCTTCTCTTCGTGAGCGAACGGAAGAGCACCCAGATCGCCTTCTCTCCCACGGCGGCAGGCATCCGCAACGGCAGGAAGGGACCACTCCGTCAGAATGAAGTACCCCATCTCTCCCTCGCTCCTCCGCCTTGCGTTCAATCATGTGCTTACGTGCACATGATCGGGCCCCTTGAAGTCATCAAGGGCCCAGGGGTCTTCTTGTGCTCGTACCGGACAACCTGCGTACCGAACAGCAGACAGAACAAAGAGGGAGGGACAAGAGAGAGACAGGGAGAGCGGGCAGCAGGGGCGAAGGGTCATTGAGTGTCAAGGGAGATTGGAGGATATTTTCTGAGAACGGGAGGACCGGTTCCTGCATGGAGAAGAGACGTTGGTATCGAGCGAGCGGAGGGGTGGGAGTTCCCCGACGAGTAGCCACCGAGGGTTGCTGACCGATAGAAGTACATAGATGCCAAGGCAAGGAGAGCCTGGAACAGGTTCTGAAGCGCTGTGCGTGTGGGTCAATCAACGGGCAAGGATGAATGGAGGGATCTGGGAAAAGGACCAGGGCGAAAGACTTGAATGATGCGCAACGAAACGAGAAGGATTTTCTCGCGGGTAGCGTGCGCATCATCCAATCTCAAGGACCAACTTCAACGTGGAAAACAGGACATGGGCTGGTTCCAGCGAAGGTCGTACCGCAACGTCAGCAGAGAAGAACCTCGTTGGATACACACGACAGCCCGTATCAAATACTTGTCCAAACACATGCCCAACACGTTAAAAAAAACACAGGCAAAACACTTTTATCGCCACTCGCCAATAAAGAGTTCCGTACCTCGTCATCCCCCACTTGGAAGAGCTCCTCGTTGAGAACCTTCTCCCAGACCATGCTGACAGCCCTCTCGTTCTTAGACGGGGTGGGGGGGTGACCCTTGACCGTCACGAGCTCGCCGATGGGGGCATCCGGCGGGGGGATGAGGAGGTCGTCGTCCATGCATAGTACCACCGCCGTGAACATGATGCCCTGAAATGGCGCAGTTTTGAGAGGGAGGGAGGAGGAGCGCTGGGAGGAAGGCATGTCTTGTCTCGTGCAAAATGTACGCATACGCGATGGAATGTCTTCGATTCTATCCGATGTCTCGTGCGCATCGAGGTCGCCGTAGACAGAATGCGACACGGCAGATGGAAGAACAAAACGATGAAAGGCAACCAAGTGCATTGCCTGTCTGCCGAACAATCAACACGTTCCGTTAGTGTCCTATCCATGTTTCGCGGCGGCCGTATCACAACGGGCGGAAAAGGGGGTCGACACACTAAAACCCGAATGAACGTAAAAGCTGCTTTACATTGAGGAATCACTACCTGCACACGAACGTCACCAGCGTTGACATGACTGACAACAGAGAGATGCCCACGCGCCTAAACAGAACAGAACTTCCAACACAAGTCTAGTTCGCAGCGTTTCTTGAAAGTGCGTCTCGCCTTTGCCTAACTCGAAAACAATTTCCTGAATGAAAGACTCACCACAGAGCAGCGATATCATGCCACTCTCGTTGTTGCGGCTACCTTCCACGACAGTCTACACATCACATCTCCTGCCGTTGAATGAAGCAGCAGCACGCACCTGGTGCTTGATGCTCGGGAGGTTGCACAGCAGGATCACGGAGGTTCCTACGCTGGGAGGCGCCGTGTCGAAGTGCCAGAGCACCGTCCTCTGTTCGGTGAGATCCTTGTCATTAGGGTGCACCTGCACGGCGATCATCGCGTGAGCGCTGTTCCGCGGAAGAGGCGTCACCTGAGCAAAAAAAAAAGGGGGGGGGGATAGGGGTATGGGGGATACGTGTGTGAATGTGGGGTGCATGCTCACGTGCTGCACCATGGGACGTAGAATATACCGGCAAGGACTACATTCGACGCGAGTAGAGCCAGTTTAGCTCTCGAAGCCCGCATCAATCTTAGAACGACGTGCGCAAGATGTTCGTACCCGCTCGGATTTGTACGGGCGTGTGTGCGCGCCATTCAAGACTGTTGCGGCATTGAACAGGTACACCGGCTCTATGATACATACGCACACAAACGTTTTTCGCTCTGGCTGACCCACCATCCGCAACCCAAACGATGTCGGACCTGTTGATTCATGTCCGTAAAACGTGCTAAAGCAACACCGAACTTTACCCCTACTCACCGTGCTCCGTCCCGGCTTTGTAGGGATGCGAGGTCAATGGTCTAACGACTACGGCATGCACGATTATGAGTACATCCCCCCCCCCCCCACCTTGCGGACAAGACCGACACGGATCTCAAGCACAGAAATCTCGGACGGAAGCTTCTTAGTGTCGACCCGAGAGCTCGTGCGGCGCTTTGTTAGGCCGTGGTGCCCACCATGCGATGCCGAGGATCGGTGGTCGCGGTCCCTGTCGCGGTCCCTGTCGCGGTCCCGGTCCCTGTCGCGGTCCCTGTCGCGGTCCCGGTCCCTGTCGCGGTCCCTGTCCCGGTGGTCGCGGTGGTCCCGGTCCCGGTCCCTGTCCCGGTCCCGGTGATCGCGGTGGTCCCGGTCGCGATGGTCCCGATCACGGTGGTCGCGGTCACGATCGCGCAGGTCGCGATGCTCACTCCGCTCCGGGTCATCGGCGGAAGACACAGGATCCGGGTCTAGCGACGGATCCGGGGGCATGATGCCCTTCGACCTCGGCTGCGAGGCTCTTCCCATGCTGCTCGCGCCGGCATTGCCAGCCTGAAAATGAGGTAGTTGCAGACAGCGGGTGTTTGTTAACGAAAAAGCAATTGAAAAAACAGAGGGTCGCGACGGTACTTGGTGCGCTTGCTTCTTTCCACATATAGGACAGATCAGATCTCTACACATCGAGCTAGCTCTGTCCAGGGTATCTCCCTAGGACATATAGATGATCGGGGCATGTTTGCTCCATGGTGATCTCAAGGACATGCAACAGGTGACCGGTGTATGTTTGCTCCATGGTGACCTGTAGCACATAGATGAGCAAGCTCATGATCTGTCCTACGTGTGCATCTTTCTTCTCGTCGACCACTACTACTGTAATACTGTCGTGCACAAGTTCGGCGTTGGAATGACGGACCACAGTAACACAAGCATTCCCAAACTTGGTGCTGTCGTTGTCAATGTGTACCAAACGTTGTTCTCGGTAGTATCTCTCAGCCGTTTTGTTTGTCCTGTATTGCCGAAACGCCATGTGACGTTGCGCAAATCCTTCGCAAACCCCTGATGCGCACACTTCCGTTGCTTCGGCCCGCACCTCCAGTGGGGTTAGATACTTATGAGTTGACAAAACGTTGCAAAGCTACTATCCGAAACGGCCACTTGTTGTCTACTTCAATGTTTCGTAGGTCGTAAACGCATGAAGATTGCTTCCGGTGGCGGAACATTCGCACGTGCTCCTTCCTCAATGCACGACAAACCCAACATATCACGCCTTCGCCTCAAACGTTCATGTTGTCTTGTTTCTAACTACACGTATTTGACGCGCGCGCCGTCAGGTGTGAATTCAAGCCTGTTCATTTCAGTTGTAGGAAGGTGGTTTTTCCGCCAAGCTCGCATCTGAACTCGGCCGACACTCCACAGCGAAACAGATGAACCATCATTCGTCCAGAAGGACCTGTCCGTATACACTTTGATGTAGGCCCTACGGCTTGCGAAAGGCTGCGAACAACGATCCAGAGCAAGCCCTAAACTACAGTCAATAGCAGCGGCCACATGAGGCTCCAAGAAGCAAACCTGAGCCAATGTTTCGCTACTGCGGGCGAAAACAACAACCCCTATGCGATCTCGTTTGTATAGGTGCTAGATACGTCAGTTTGTCTTGGTTCTTTCCACTCCAGTGAGCAAACCCAAAAAAGTCAGCAGTCGTGCCTCGCTGGAGGACACCAAAATTAAGGAAACTCCCTTGGCTAAGGAAAACTCTTTTTTGCAGTCATCGTGGCTCGCAAAATATAACACCACAAGGAGGGGTATCAACCTGAAGGACGCTTCCCTGGCTCACGGACACATTTTGTAGAAAAAAACATGCGTGTCCTTCACCGATTTTCGACTGTATCGGATCCAAAATAAATACTTTCACACACACTGTGCGATGAACTCCGAAAATGCAGATAATGAACAGAGCAGACGCTCCTTTGAGTGCTTCGTGTGTACGACCGAACAGGATCCGCACGTTTCCACCGAAACCCATATGCACGCGCGAAACACACAAAATAAAGAGGCCGAGTTATAGTACAACATCCTCCGGCAAGGCGGCGAAATTCCACATTTTCCCGCCGCCGTGATACCTGTTCGAAATATTTCCAGTTGCCATGTGTTGGGCTGCGGCATTTTCACTCTGTTTGCTTTCGTATTCCGCGACGCGCAACGAGCACTTCTTGGTAATGGTAGATCGAAATGACCGGCATACGTATTTATTTCCACGGCTGTCCTCGGTAACTACAAGGCCGTGACTTGACGTGTTGACTGGAAATCCTGCGTTTTACCGCCTCTAGTTTGACCGCGAACCGGTAACATAATCTCCCCTTTCCCGTGTTTATTGCCGGTTGAAATACCTGTCCGCGGTACGTGGTGAACTTCTACATACATGGTTTCCCTCCATTCACGTCAAGACTTCACCACATCCCGTTCGACTGTGGTCATATCTCGAATGGGTAGTCTTTCTGTGTATTTATGTTTCCTAATACATGCAGCGCGCCAATTCTGAAATTTGACTGACGATCCCGAATCTGATATTCCCGCTATTTTCACCGCCAGACACAACTAATTGTACCTGCGACATGTTGAACAGAGTATTTCTTACGATCACCCTTAGAACGCAACCGTCATTGGTACCTTTCGTTGTACCACCTTCTTCAAAACCATTTACCGTTACCGGGGACAGCAGTCTTGAGAGTTTTTCAAGCGAACCATGCACGTTTGACACCGTTTCTGAAGACTTTCAATTTTTTTGCGCTGTGCACAACAGCAACAGCAGTGTACGCCTCTCTGTGAGCACGTTTGTGCTCAGAGCAAGGGTGATCAAACAAGGACCTAACTTTGTCCATACTGCTGTTGTGCAAAAAAGAGTCATGGGGATTGATCGGTCCATAACTTCTTCGACAGGTTCATAAGATCGTAAGCATAGGATCGTGAACGGATTCGAGTATATTGAGCATTCCCAAAACATGCGCAAAATAAACATGAACACACGGATGATACCGGCGGAGAGTAACGCGTCCTGCATCCCGCGGGTTGCGCAAGATACCACACCCCCCTTTTCAAAGGTTGACTTGACTCTCCACGACAAAGTGGATGCCAATATCAAATGGTGTGCATGTACAAGTCTACATGTCGCTGTAGCTTTCAACGAAACGGTTTCAACTACGCCTGCAGCGTCATCGAGTTTTGAAGACCACTCTTCAAGACAGAGTGGCGACCCACGTGAAAATTCAGAAAATTAGTGGTGGAAAATTAAAATTGCGCCCCAAGAAGCGAACGCGTCGTTCGAAATCAACAAATTCGCCCACCGTCCCACGATGTCAAGGCCTCGCCGGTCAGCGAATGATACACACTGCTGCTGCGTACGTGGCACGCGACATTGAAGATGTATGCATACGTTTAGGGTTGAAACCAAACGGACAACGTATCCGCTGCAGCCAACCCGCCGGAATTTAATCGGAACTTGACCGTTCACAAACAGAGCCACACGAGCGGGCAAAAAAACCCAGAAAAAGCCTTGAATGCATGCGGGTGTGGTTGTTGTCAATTTCGCAAACATCGGGTGTATCGAAATCACGCTGTGGGGGATACCGCTACCATCGAAAAATACAAGCTCTTGGGGTAGAGGCATGTCCGTACATGTTTACTGCCGCAGTGTGCAAATGCACGTTCTTCACATTATCGCAATGCATGGAACTTATACTTTTCTGTATCAATATTGTACTGGCCCGAAATGGGGAAAGCTGCCGTGTCTGCTGCCGTGTGTCGCTGCTGCTCGCTCCTGCCTTTCTTCTTGATTATTTGTTGTTCTTTTGAGCAGTGGTTGGAGGTCTTGAGAGTTACATAGAGCCCTGTTTGGCGATCTCAGCGCGAAACACACGCGCACGGGACGTTGTTGGCTGCCGCAACCAAGGCATTCCTGCCTAATAGTCTCCCGCTCGGCACGCTTAGAGCTCGCCTTGATATCTCAACTCGTCCGTTCATGGCTCGGATCAATTCTCACATTCGTTTGGTAGAGAGCGGAGGGAGGATGTGTGTCTTCTGACAAATTGTAAATTACATCGAATGACAATCATCTTCCACAGGCGGAGATTGAGACGCGGGTAGCCAGCCTCGTGTGTTCAAACAAAGCAACCGCACTCCAAATTAAACAGCGCACTCACTCGACGCGCGCGGAGCGAACAACGGGTGCCCGCTGTGCGTGTGCACACACATACAATGCGAAGTTCGGACTCACCCTTCCGATTGCTTCGTGGATGAAGTTCTCACTCCCGGGGAAGAAGTAAGATGTGAGCGAACTGAAATCCTCCCTTTCGTCCTCTCTCACGAAGATGCGGAACCTGCTGTTGCTCATCGCGTCCAGCGTCGTGCCGTTCGCGAACGAGGACTTGCTCGGGGGCCACGGCCAGCGCTTCATCCTCAGCACCTCGATGATCTTCGCGAAGCAGTAGTCGTTGTACTGCACGAAGTACCTGCCCTTTGTGTCCCTGACGAAAGGGGGGGTCTTCTTTTCGGTGCTGTGGTCGAACATCCTCGCCAAAACCGAATCTGGGCACCTGGTCAGCGTCGACCGCCTCGTAGACACGACTGTCCCGCCGATGTTGAGCTCCACCATGTCGTCATCGACGCCTTCCCTCCCAAAGCCGCCGGGGGCTCCCGCGAACTCCGCCACCGAGGCCACCTCTCTGTCGTACTTCTCCTTGGCGGCCTGGTACTCGAGCTCGGCCGTCTCGAGAACGACTTCTTCCACTGCGAACGCGGTGGCCACCTGCCTCCCAAACTTTCTTGCATCAGCGGGGTCGACAGCAGGGGCAGGGATGTCCTTCGGCTTGACGCGAGAGGGGGGCGGCGGCGCCAACGCAGCGCGGCCCTCATACACATGCCGCCACAAGCCCAGCACCAGCACGAGGTGGTCGAAGTTCGGCTGCTCCTCGGGGGTCAGGGTGGGCAGCTCGACAGGCTTGCCTGGAGTCGCCCGTCCCAACTTGACCAAAAACTGCACAATTTTTCGGAAGACCGACGGCGAGACGTCCACGAACACGCGCCCACGCGAGTCCCGCGGCAGCCGGCCCTCCCATCTACCGCCGAAAACAAGTGCCAGCACGGACTCCTCGGCCCTCACCAGGTCCGCTCGTAGCACGTCCATGTCCGTGCCGCCCACGTTGAGCTCCACAATAGGGCCGCCGCCCCCGGTGATGCCGTAGGAGTTGGCCGCATCTCTTCTGTCTCTCTCCAGATCTCTCCACTTCTTTTCCAGGATACCCCACTTGTCGTGAATGCGCTTGGAGACCTGGCCTATCTGCTCCTGGAGCTCGGCCTGGGCCTTCGTGGAGAGGCCGCGGGCCTCGCCCCTCGTTGCCAGGAAGGAGCTCATGGCCGCGGGGGAGTCCGTCTCCACGATGTCCTCCACATTCGTCTTGGGCACGGCGTTCCCACGCTCGCTCTTCGTGCCGCGGGCCTTCATCGTGTCTGGTGCTGCTCACTGCTCACTGCTCACTGATGATGCTGCTGCTCTTAAGAGGAGCCCCTGTGGGAACGATCGACAGGGGCTGGCCACTCTAGCCGCTGCGGCTTCCTGTGCTGTAGCAGCCAGGGTGTTTGTCGCGCGGGTTAAAAGTTAAGAGACCCGGAGGGGCCGAGGAAGGAAGGTGTGCTGGTTGCGTGTGTGTACCTTGAGGGAGAGATAGATGGAGCGAGAAACATTTCCTCTTTATCTTGCATAATAATAATGTCATCATGCATGTATTCCACCGAGTGCACACACAATTTTTTTCCAGCAGCACAGACAAACGAACCCACACACCCACACACAACAATTGAGAGAGAGGGACATACACTAACAACAGCACTAACACGCGTTTTGTTCCCAAAAAGATTATGCCGCCGCCTGACACAGCAGGCGGGTTCCGCGGTAAAGCCGAATTTATTTGGGGGGGGGGGGGACGGATTGTGACCATCCCCTCCCCAACATTTGAAAATTAAATACAATGATCCTATGTCATACTTATGATGATATGCAAAATTTTAAAAACAAACTCGATGGTAGTGGCCGGGTTTCAATAGATTATGCTCTTTTTCGCTCGCCAATTTGCGAAAACGCACAGACCGGGGATGATGCCAAAATATCCCCGGTTTTGAAAAATCGTCAGATCGATCTGAAAAATTCAGGGTTTGTCAATTTTGGGGCGGGGATCACGAATCCGTCGTTGGATTTGTTTTTCTCGCGTTCTGAACAAAGTTATGATGGGTGTTGTACGTTACACTTTTCTCGCCGCCGCCGATTGAAGCACAACAGAAAAACTGCAAGTTTACAAGTCGCAACACGCACAATCTCCACCAAACCACGCGCTTATCTCCACAAAATACAGCAAAAATGCAAACCAAGATTTGAACGCACCATCACCCAGCCCCTCAATAATATCTACTTGCTGCTACCGCAGAATGAGACCCCAAACTGTGTACCGGTAACCCTGTCCATCTGGCAGGTGGTC